TTTCTCTGAATGCTGCATGTATGTGTTTTGGGTCTGTGCCTAAAAGGTACTGGAGCCATTGTGGTCAGCACAATAGACAGGCAACCAACATCTTCAGAAGGAGATCAGCAGTGGCACACTACCACATTTCTCTGACTGGTGTACGTAGAAAACATAAAAACGCGAGCATAACCGAGGCTTACCAAAAACAAAACACACAACCAGGGGTGGACTGACAACTCATGGGGCCCCCGGGCAATAGGGGATCATGGGGCCCCTGTGTCCTTGCTCAAACTCAAAAAAGCCTATGAAAAAGGTACCAGGGGCATCTCATGGGGCCCCCTACTGACCCTGTGCCCTCGGGTCAGTGCCTGAGTTTCCAAATGGTCAGTCCGCCCCTGCACACAACATTCCTATAAAACATCAAACTTCAGGTTAGCAGCAATCCAGTTCGAACTTGCTATTAGTTTGAATTTCCTCTATGCAGAGACTGTAGCAGCATAAGACAGAGCTGTACTGATCTCCACAGTGGGAGAGTCACAGCGCTATTGACCCATGAAGTCTCTGCTAATAACTCAGGTCTATGCAATCAAGCAGCAAGGGCCATGCCATAGATCATAATGACAATGTCTGCCAGCGTGACTTTGTTAGAGGGCAGGATTATCTCTCAAATCAGACAGGTGACACATAATGGAGACAACGTGAGGTGTGCTGAAAACTGCAGACTCCTTAAAATAAGTTAACTTCATGTTAATGAACTCAAACTTCTCCTCATGTTAGAATTTAGTCCTAATGCACAATGGACATTTTACAGCTGCTGTTTTTGGCTTTTGCCATTTTTTTTTCTACAGCCAGTAAACTCCCCAGCATGGTACACTATGTATTCATGCACACATAGGCTGTAGTCAGCGTGTTTTTTTTTTTCGCAGGGGCGTTTTTTGGCTGGGAAAAACCCCCCAGAACTATTGGGTTTCTAGAGAGTTTTTTTTAAGCTGTAAGAATGCTCCAACGCTGAAAAGAAAAAAAACACGACAAACGAGAGTGTTTAATTTTTAAAAACACAAAAACACGGAAAAACGGGGCAAAAACGCCAATGCAAAAACGCTAAAAAACTTGCGTTTTTAACATGACTTTACACAACGAACGCTACCAGCATTATTACAACGCTCAGTGTGCATGGAGCCTTAAAGTTGGCCTTAACTGGAAAAATAAAGATTTGCTACCTTTTAGAAATATTAATTGTGCCCAAGCATGAAAAAGTCTTGAGTTTTCTAGGAACTCTTCCTGAAAAATAGCATGGAGGGTTGGTTGGGAGTTTTTTAGTTGGGATTAAGTCTGATATATTGAACAGGGTGATAAGCAGTGGTTCATGCAAAGATCGAAGCGTTACCGCAAGATAGGGTCACTATATATGCTATGTCCTGGCAGCCATGGGTAGATCATTACCTCCCTGCACACCTTGATGCTACACTACTGCTACCAAGATGCTTTGCTATTTGGCATAACATCATTTTCATGGGCTATCTCCAGCAGACCCCTGACCCCCCTATCCCTCTTAACCCCCTCTGTAACCCCCCCCCCCTCCTGCTAAACCATAGATGGTATAGGTTGCCTCGCTAGCCATTCAACAATCCTACAGACATTTGGCCATGTCTGACCGCCTATCTACACTCGCTTGTTGTTCGCAAAGGTTATCATGTCCATACCGAGCTTAGATTAGGTGAATGCTTTTCCATCTGTTCTAACCTAATTTGTGAAACCCTAAAAAGTCTTCCGGGTCAAATGTTTGATTTAATATAATTGTAATCCATGTGTCTTACAGCCATTGCAACTTAACTAAACCAATAAACATATTGAACAAGAAAAGTCTGATATAATGTAGTGAATGGGATCTACACCAGGCGACCAGTAGACATCATTTCTTTAGGACAGGGTTTCTCCACCAGGGTTCCATGGAACCATATGCTTCCTCCAGAGGTTGTTAGGGGTTCCTCAAGCAATTTCTGACTCTTCGATAAGTTCCCACTGACAACACTTATATTTTAAGCGATCTGTAAGGGGGTAATTCATCCCAATGACTTCATGTGCAAGGGGCATTCTTTCACTAATGTATCATGAGTTATCAATATGGATTTTTTAGCAGGGGTTCCCTGAGACCGGAAAGTTATTTCAAGGTTTCCTCTGTGTTGAAAGGTTGAGAAAGGTTGCTTTAGGATATAATGGACATACCATATTTCTGCATTAGAGTATGTACAAATATATTTTTGCACTCCCTCTACAGTGCTCTTAGTCCAAAAACAAGCAAACAAACAAACAAAAAAAAAAAAAACACTATTACCCCCGGTTCACATATATTCGGCCGTGCGGGCCTCGTTTTGCACAGGCACAAGAGCACATTCATTTGAATGGACTTCTGTGCCCATGACACGCAGGGAAGAAGTCCCTGCACTTCTTTGGAAAACCGCAGCCCACACAGGAACCTCAGTTCCCAGTACGGTTGCGTTTTCCAGTGTGGGCGGCGTGCCATTAGAATTAATGGCACAAGCCCGCGGGTCCGCATTCCTCTGTGCGGGTGCACGGATTTTCGTGCGGATCCGCAGCGGCACCACCCGCACAGATGTGAACCAGGGGTTAAAGGAATATATTCAAACATCTATACATAGCACGAGTGTACTTAACTTTAAAACACATCTTATATATACAGAAGCAGTCTCAGCCCATTTGTCTTACTGTCCATCAAGAGCGACAATATTTGTAAAAGGCATGTACACCTCCTAAGGCAGCGGGTTGCAAACAGTGCAAGACTGACCTTTGTGTGTCCTATGGAATCTGTCACTGGGCCAAGAGGCAGAGTGGGAAGAGAATAAACTGACTTCTTTGTAAACACTATAGAGCCTTCTCAATAAAACAGGGCAAAGAGCAAACATCCATATATCAACTTTCAGTTACACAACTCCAGATTACAGAAATCACACCATGTTCATTGAGCCGGCTTAACGGCAAGGGCACATGGAAAACAATTGTATTAGTTGCCTTATTCACAGCATACATGTGCAGAGCTGTCTGTTGCTTAAAAATGCAGCATGCCTGGCTGTACTGCACTGGCTGTACTGCAGTGTGTGGCAACATTTCTACAGTTTGCTTTTTTCTTTTTAATAAAAAGGTAAACAGTGCATGACATCACCCCTACCTGGCTCCGAATGCACCCCTTCTGTTGTTAACAAGCCCTAAAGTGGAATTCTGTGCAAACACTGTCATGAAGCCACATTATGAGATAATGCAGATAGTAGGGCTGATATAATTTCTCTGAGAAAATGTTGCTCTAATTACCCTCCAGTGCTGTTCACAAACCAAAATACTGGGCATTTAGTCATGTGAACTCTGTCGAAATAAAAGATCAGAGTTCAGGCTGACTGATCCCCCCCATTTACATCTAGCTGTTTGGGAACGCAGATGGGACCGCCATGATTCTGCCCACAACTCCAAATCGCATTGCAGTCCTGGCAAAACACACACACTTGTGCAGTTTTGCTGTGACTGATCATGTGGTAGTTATGGCAAACTGCATCGTGCAAAGCTTGTCACCCAAAAAAAGCACCTGTTTCTTTTTGAACAAGCAGCTCTACGTGGCAAAACCGCACAGCATTTTAGGTACCATTAAAAATGAATGGCACACAAAAACATGTAGTGTGTTTTGCCAGGACTGCAGTGTGCTTTGGAATGATTCTATCCATGATCTCAAATTGCTAGATGTGAATGGGGCCTAAACTGATCGTTGCTCCGTGCTTTAACTTTAAAAATTTTTTTATGCTTTGTATGTATTCTAAAGAAAATAAATAATTTTTCTTATTTAACCTTTAGTATTCAGTAAATACATGGTTAGTATTAAAAGCATAACAAAGCTCTAAATATATATATAAAACATTTCTATCTGTATATATTTGAGGATAATTATCTGCACCCAATACAGAAATAAAAGATTGACCTATTTACTTTTTTTGACTTTGAAAGGTTCTCGCTCTCTGGTATTGATATTAGAGCAACATACAGTAGATGTGAAGAATGGAAACCATACTTGACCTGAATGTGCAAAGTAACAATGTCTTTTAAAGGCAAGTTCTCCAGAAAGAACAACCTGAACCCACTGGACACATATCTTACCCACCCTCAACTTTATCATCAGAGCTGGTAGTCCAAGTACTGTCTAATTGTGGTGCACCGAAATGAAAATTCGGTGCCAAAACAAAAAATTCAGGATACACTTGGCCGAAAACCGAAACAAACCGTTTTTTTTTGTTTTAAAACATATATTTTTTATAGAATATAATATTAATAATAATATATAATTGTATTATATTCAACTTTTTAATTTTATTGAGGGCGGGCACTTGAGCAGAGTAATGGCCATGGAGACAGAGCCATTACCGGCACTTTTTTTCTTTCAGCAAAATGCCGATAACCCTATTTTCGGCCGATATATCTGTGCATAACTAGTGTGTAATCTCCAGGTCACATGGGGGTTTATTTACTAAAGCTGGAGAGTCCAAAATCAGACTCCCTTCTACATAGAAACCAATTAGCTTCTAACCTCAGCTTGTTCAATGAAGCTTTGGCAATGAAACCTGGAAGCTGATTGGTTTCTATGCAGAAGGGAGTCTGATTTTGGACTCTCCAGCTTTAGTAAATAAACCCCATGGTGTCAGAGCTTACAGACATATGACTGGCTGATCAGGTCCATGCACTGCAGCCAGTTAGAGAGGGCAGTCATATGCTCCCCCCATAGCTGGAAGCCAATCAGGATGGCCAAAGACTAGGAACCTGTAAGAAGACTGGGTGAAGATGGAAGAGCCAGCGGTGGAGCGCAGTGCAGTCATCGCTATAGAGGGGATGGCTTACTAGCCATTTACATCCACTCTACATTATCAGTAGTCTTTCCTATACTTAGTAATAGCCGAAAGTGTTTTACAGGACACAAATGAATGCAATGAAGGATGGGAACTAGGAAGTCATTGTGTGCTATGCTATAGGTTTAGATCTCTACCAAGCATATACCAGTGTGTTACTGAACAGCATGGTCCAGTACTGAAATAAGTTTTTATTACAAAGTATATTTTGGGGTGAGGTATAGAAGACTTACATTGTTCTTTGCTGTAATGCTGATATATTCTTTGTGCAGTGGGTCTAGATTCCAAGGCAGAGTTCTCACTCGATTGTGACTGGCTGGTACTCGGCCACAGCTGGCCATGGCAGAACGCTGTCCTAGGATTCTGAAGAGAGTTGCTTTGTTCTAGTACTCCCTGTCTACAGCTAGAAAGGCTGCGTGCTCCCGTGTCCAGCCATTTCTCAGAGTAGCGCGGTACCTGTGAGTCGTGCTGGGGAAGGAGGGACCGGTCATTCAGCTGCCTGAACTTATAAAGCTTTTGTTGGGTCGGTTTGGAACACTCTGTATCCGCATACAAATCTTTATTCTGTGCGTACTGGACAATCCAGCTGATCTTTTTGCTCAGGATGGTCTTGACCTCCTCATAAGGACTTTTGGTGAGTTTGGAGCGGGAACAGTCCTGGTTTGCAATTTTATGATATTTCTCAAAACAGTCCTTGTGCCCCCGTACAGACTTTGTGTGCAGAAGATCAGACCTGGGGATCCCTGGAAAACAAAGAACAATGGAAATATATTGGTTTGTGTGTAAACCAAAATCATTATTTTCTTTTCCATACATGGAATGGTATGATAATGAAAAGGAAAACAGCTATTAGAACAAATAGAATGCTGAATGTTATCACTGATGAGTAAGATCTTTAAAAAGAAAGCAACTGTTCAAACATCAAAAAAAATAGATAAAAATCATCTGCAAATGGTATCAGCCATGTGTTTTCATTATGTAAACATACATGTAATGCTCCAAATCTACTGCCATGATAGAAACACAGCAGCTTGTTAAATGTGCAGACAATGATTACAAGATTAGTCCACCAAAACATATTTTAGTCTTTGGTACATGCTAGGGGTGCATCATCATCAACCCGCTTTACTTTAAATGTATGTAAACCTGAACAGTGAACTTCTATTGGCTCCTTTTTTGTCTATTAACCTGTTGCCACCACACATTAAGTGTAGCAACAAAAGGGTGGACTTTAATGCCCACCAGCCACACATCTGTGTCATTGGGTGGCTGAGGTTTCTGTGCTGAGTGGGCACTCCCAGCACAGAGACTGAGCTGTCAAAGATAGCGGTCGGTCCCTACGAATAAATAGGTAACTGGTAGGACTGTCTCCTGATCTTGTGACCCCAATCGCACTGGTCTCATCATAGTCGATCCTATGGGTATAACATGGTACATGATAACTGATCACAAAGGTTAACTAAGGCTTCTAAAAAAAAAAAAAAAAATAAAAAAAATAAAGCTCTGCCTAGAATACTGTAGGCAACAAACAGAAGAGTTGTCCAGATGCATGACTCAACCACTTTTTACTGTTCGCATGTGCAGCTTCTCCTCCACAAAGACACACTAAATATTCCTGTTTAGTTAATGAAGCAAAAAGTTTAGCCTCACAAGAAGCAGACAGTCCTTTATCTTCAATAGCAAAATATCTGTGCCCTAGATCCCAGATTCACCTACTTGTCATGGTCATAATGAGGGACGTTCCAGGCCCGCTTGTTTAATGTTCAATAGTTACCATCAAGGCAAGGCATCAAGGAGCACAAACGTCTTTGGTGGGGTACAGCAAGAGGTGTATTGGTGCTTTAAATAACCAGAAAATAAATAGAGATGTGAATCTGGGTTCCTCATCCTCTCTCGTACACTAGACACTGTTAGTTTGTCTAGAGTTATTTCATTTTGCAAGCACAGGGGCCTGTATTGAGGTTACTATTGAAGATACCAATATTTTACTTTGTTTATTAACAAGGGTCCTGAGCAGTGAACTTTCTTTTAAGGTTGCACTTCAAGGCAAAACACTGAAAACTATTCTTCCAAAGGATTATGTTTGAAAGTACTTATACAAACAGCACTAGAAGTTTTTACTGGAATCGCCTGTTTGCAAATGAAAAGCTTAGTACCCAGGGCTTAATATGAGACTGAAAATGTTGAAAGAATTTCCCTCTGCACAGGCGGCTTGTCCTGAAAGCAGGTAGGACTGTGAAACGGAGATAGGATTGAGAATGTTTTAATTTCACGCTTATTAGCTGATTTCACAAAGGGATGTGAAATTCTTGACAGGGCTGGTGGACATGAAACGTTTGACGGGAAGGAATGTAATGTAAAATTAGGTCACTTGTAGACTAATAGAGTATGAGACTTTTTTCCAACTTTAAAAGGGAACGTGTTACTGCCCATGTATTATGGCTATACATCCACAATGAGTGGTTTTCAAATTATAGCACATGAGCAGCAATATGGCACATTGGTAAGGTCTGATCTCCAGCACAGGACTTAGATTGCATATTCCTGGCCCTCAGAACACCACTGAAGTCTATAGACCAGCTGCGATTTCTCCTGCGCTCTAGGGCCCAGACCGGTGGCAAATAGATGGAACCAACACCAGAGCAAGTGACCACCAGTATATTTCAGACATATGACTGGCTTGTGCAGCTCCAAAACAGGGCTGGGGAAGCCCGATCGATACTGCAAAGTGAAACAAAAAACAAGAAGCGCACCAACCTTGCGCATTACCTCAGTAACAGAATTTATTAATAGAAGATAGGTACTCACAAACAGCGAATAAAATCAGGCATGTAGTCCTCAAAGGGACTTCAAAGATAAGAAGCCAGTGCGAATCCCATCATGGGGGTAGGCGTAGCCTTCGAAACGTGTCAGCTATACTGAGTGTCTACCCCCATGATGGGATTCACGCTGGCTTCTTATCTTTGAAGTCCCTTTGAGGACTACATGCCTGATTTTATTCGCTGTTTGTGAGTACCTATCTTCTATTAATAAATTCTGTTACTGAGGTAATGCGCAAGGTTGGTGCGCGCTTCTTGTTTTTTGTTTCACTTTGCACCACTGAAGTCTAGGTGGTGTTTACAAGCCTAGAGCACCATAATGCTTCTTGTGTAGCCGAGAGCAAAAGGGCCGTAACTTTTTTTTTTAATCCGCAGAGGTGCAAAAAACAAAAACCTGTAAGTGAACAAAAACGTGCAAGTGCAAAACACAAAAAAGTACACTTAGGGGTGTGCTTTAGTCTACCCCCTGAAGGGGTAGGATCTCTACCCTGATCCCACGGGTGCAAGGCTCCTGACAGGGACAAAAGGTTTCCACATTGTCCACCTAGCCAAAAGGCCTGGCAGACCCTTTCCTTGTGGTTAGCCGAAGACCACCACCAAGTACTAGGTCAGGGATCCCTCCCGAAGAGAGACCCCCCAGGAACAGGGGAGGAAGGATCCTAATGGCCACGCATCCTCCCCCTAGACTTCTGGGCAGGCCCGAGGACCCACACCCTCCATCCTAGTGAGAAAAATAAAAACACACACAAAAGTGAAAGGTGACAAAATGGTGGGAGAAAAATTAAGTGGCCGTGCAATTGTGCACTGGCTAAACCCTGATGCCAGTAGCAAAATAATTGCCCTGGACTTAGCGAAAAGTCCTAGCCCTAAAAGGGGCAGTGCAGAAAAAGTGTTTAGAACAGTGACCATGTGCACTTTTCACACTTGGGATCCCACCCCCATGTGCTACTAAAAGCACCCCTGAGGCAACCACTGTCAGGGGGCACTGCTTTGCGGACTCTCTGCCTCCCCGGTCCCTGGCCAGACAGGGTAGACCCATTCAATTCAGGAGGAACTGGGCCTCTTCAGTTTTCCCGGGGGAATTACTCCTGGGCCCCAACAGCCTGTCGGCACCTTGGTTTCTTTTCCAGTCGGTACTAACCTTCAGAGCCCTCCATCATATCAGCAGGGGTACTATACAGCCAGCCATTCTCACCTAAAAGCAAGAATGACGGCAGAGCACCCCTACTGGACACTGATACAGATACTACACTTAGCTCTTAGGTAGGGTAGCCTTTTGGCTAAGATGAATCAGAGTGACTTGCGAGCCACAGGTGTGATAATTACTAGAGGATCGCAAACATGAAACGCATAACTACAACTGTGTTGGAAATATCTACAAATATATGTTGCGCTCCTAAATACTTCTCAATAAATATTAATTAAATTATTACCATTAAATTAATTCAAATTATGATACAAATAACTAATAAAAGTGTATAAATACCAAAAAATATTTAAATAGATAGTTTCAACTAATCAATCTCCTCCAAATAAATATCAAAATAATTCCACATGAAATACTCCTCTAAAAAATATTTTACCAAGTGCTCATAAATCATCTATTAGTGACATGATATACTTACTAATAGCCTCAATTTCATTTATATTCATAATACCCTCATTTAATATAACAAAAATAATAAACCAACTAATAACCCTCAACTAAAACGCATTTAAATGATCCCCCATAAATAAAAATAACCAAATGCTCAAAAATAATTAATAGTGATTAGTATGAATCCAAATACCATCAAAATAATAGTCCCATTGAATAAACAATTGTTTATATATAGTTACTTGGTGCTTGTTGTTCTTCAATTTGTGACTTTTGTGAATCCTTCAAATAGTGAAGATGTGCGCTCACCTCCTTTGATGCCTGCAATTAGGCTATACACGCTTTCGGTTCACTTTCCCTGGAACCTGCTAGACATATACTTTTGCTGGTGAAATAGGGAGATCCTTCCTTTAGGAGTAGTCAGCCACCAGAGGATACATCCATTACTCCTAAAGGAAGGATCTCCCTATTGCACCAGCAAAAGTATATGTCTAGCAGGTTCCAGGGAAAGTGGTATTTTTTCGTATTTATACACTTTTATTAGTTATTTGTATCATAATTTGAATTAATTTAAATGGTAATAATTTAATTATTATTTATTGAGAAGTATTTAGGAGCGCAACATATATTTGTAGACTTTTGGCTAAGATCATGTCATGACCCCACCGTTCAACAAGCCAATTCCATGGCCTTTGTTAGACTCTGAGGTTCTATCACTAGACTGGAATGGATATACAGGACTTGGCTCAGAGCAAAGATAGAGGAGTGTTCCTGAGATAGTGAGAGCAAACTGAAAGTGATTAAAGGTACACCCAGTCTTGCTAAAATCTGTAAGTCAAAAATTTATAAAATTAGGAGCCAGTAACCATGAAAGAATTTGTCAGGGAAATGGTTATCATGGTGAACAGATTACTAGGATTTGTTGGGCTTTGCTTTAGGCCCCATGTACCGTGGCCATTTAGCCCTGATGCATGGAGCCCTGGTGCCAAGTTGAGAGCAGACTGAAAAGCGGAGTGTCTGACAGCCGCCATAACTGGCTGGTGCACCTAGTAGTATGAATGTTTAGGGTAGTATGCAACCAGAGACAATATCCTGCGCCATAAGCTTACTCATGTTTAAAGTGATATTAAAGCTTTGATTTCTTTTTTTTTTATTAAAAAAAAAAAACAAACAAACATGTCATGTCACAGTTACCTGCTCTGTCCAGCCCTGATCCTCCTCTTCTCAGGTCCCCTGCTGCCCCCCCGTGTACAGTCCCCCATAGAAAGCCACTCTATTGACACAGGCAGCAGAGCTCAGCCTCACCCACTCATCATAGGGTTTGATTGACATCAGCAGGAGTCAGGAGAGAGGTAAGTCTCGGGCACAGCGCTGGATCGAGATCAGGCTCAGGTAAGTAT